CGAACCCCCAGTGCTAAAAACCCGGGATGAGCCCCGGCTACAAGACCTGCCTTCCGACGCAATGGCACAAAATAGACTGCCCGCACAGATGGCTCTGGGCTGCCTGCATGGAACGCTGGATGGCTGGACGCAGTTCCCACATTCGCGATAAGCAACAAGCTGCAGCATGTATCTGTTGAAGCATGTAGCACATTTCGCCCAGTTTCTCACCACAGCAGGAGTTGGTGACAATCACGGCCGAATATGTTCTCGGTAAGTATCAATTACCGTGGCGGAAGACCGCAGGCTGGGAGGGGGAGACATTATTCTTGTCCTTGCGGTCGGAGTTGAGTGCCTCGGAGGCCGAGGTGATCTCGCGGACCAGAAGGGAAAGAGGGGCCGCAGGCGGAGATGTCCCTTCATCAAGGGAATGACTCCGTGGCTGCATAGTCGGTCAGGTGGAGGTGGCTGTATTCGATACGAATGAGCGAGCGTGAGAGAAAACGCGCAGCCGGGCCCCAGAGGAAAGAGCCAATCAGCTGTCGATTAAGTGATTAGGAGGCTATTTCTTCCCGGCCATTGATCCGCCGCTCTCATTGGCGGCTCGCCTCGCTGATCGTAGGGACGCTCCGTCACCTCGGATTCGAAATCGCTTCGCGCAGAAACTATTCCTGTGTTTTTCTCTCTGCGCATCCCCCGCAACCGATGATGAATGTTGAGAACTTTCATCAATGAGCGCTGCCGTAGATTCGGAGCTCCAGCGGACGGGGCAGCGAGTGCAGATGACGTCCATCAGTGCTCCTGAGAGGGAGCTATCGACAAGGGATGTCACGCAACGCGGACGACAGCTCCCACAATTAAAAGGGGTAGCTCGACCACAATGCGACCCACCAAAGAGCGATCATGGGACTCATCTGAATATTCCACCCCTTTCAGCCAGGTTCTCCTGCTTCAGAATGGATTGCCCCGGTATCCTTCCAAACGACTCGATAATGAGACCGAATTCAACTTTCCAGGCGAGCTACCGCAAGCTGAGCTCTCGAGTCCAGAGACAGATCGCTCGGCATTGGAACGCGAAGACCTGAGGGAAGCCACAGTGAGGCTCGCGCCGCCGGGGGCCACGGCATGGTAGATCAAGGGCGGCGGGAGGGAATTTCCTCCACATCCGGCAAATAGCATATCAAATGAACGAGGAGCCTCTGATAGACCGAGTGCTTGAGTGCCGAGGACTAGGGGCATATGAAGGAGAATGCGATAAAATTCTGTTGGGAATAGGCCACGGGGATTAATTCCTCGGCAACGCTTCAGTTCGGTGGAGCCTGAATCCGCGCTGATGGAATAGCCAGTCCGTAAGAGGTTTTGAAAAACCAGTCGCACCGCCGTATACATCGACAGAGGGCTTATGATCCTTCGAGTGAGAAAATTCTGCGTCCACCGAGGAGTCTGGAAGAGGATCCAATTTGCGCCAGCCTGTCGTGTCTTCTGCACACCGCCACCACAGGAACGGCAGCGATAGCAGCACGCTCGGATCCGGTTTGAAAGAAAACGAGCTCAAACGAAGCTCTCCCCAGTCGTTAGCGTCGGTTTCGGGCGTGGGAGCGACACTGGGTCGGAGGAACCGTCATGCGCTGACCCTTATTCAATTTCATGAGAGAACAAATCCTATTTTCGCATGCAGAGCTTCCGAGAATTTCCGAGGTCGTTGACGACATCTCATCATAAATCATTGCCCATGCCCGAGATTCGATGAAGACTCACGGTCACCGGGGCTCAACTGTCAGCAGACAACTATTCGCGCAGAACATCAGAAGGTGCGTGAATCTGAGACACAGAGACTCATGGAAAAGTTCTCAAAGCGAAGAGCATAACGCTTCGAGACTGGGAAGTGCTCCGAAGAGAATCGGGAAAGTCCGACTGTGTTTGGGGCATTTTAGGGCATTTTAGGGGCGTTAAGCATTTTATAGACTAGACTCTCTTTCTCGGTCGTTTCTAGGTGCTGGGAGGATATCAGCTATGGATCCATCCCCCCCTCCCCCGTGAGAAATTCCGAGCAGAGTGCACGCTGATACCGAAGTTCTGGCGTTTGAGGGCAAATAGCTGCTTGATTCGAGAGGTCTCCCCTTTTTCGACCGTACGACGTCCTCATTTGACGGAGGGCGCAACTGATATAGCAATACTCCTCCGCGTGGTAGAAAGTGGAGAGTCTTCCGATGTAGCGACAGATCGTTGTCGTTTAACTCAGTTCTGAGTACGTACTATTTTATCGACGCAGGTACTCTTCCGGGAACGACGATCTCGAGAACGGGACTGTTCGCCGTTCTGCCTTATGTTGTATCCCCCAGCATTGACAGTCTTTGAACCGTGAGGGTTCCGGGCTAGCTGCTCCGGGGCGATATCCCTGCTTGATGTGAAAAGTGCCGTGAGAACGTCCTGCCAGTTTCCCCCCCCCTTACCCACCCAGCCCCCAGAGCCTCGACAAGGCTCGCGGTCCAAAAGCGAGTGCTTGATTTGCGTACTTCAGCAAACGTAATATTTCCGGCCGAGAGGTATAGCTCTCGCCCTCCTCGTCCCTCCCCGGCTCGCTCATCGGAACAAGCCTCGACTACCAAAGCGAAGTTGAGCCGACAGAAACCTGAGCCGTTCCGAATTCTCAGCCGTTCGGATCCCGACAATTTTTTCGAAGACTTAATAGGATCGGGGGATCTTGACGCTCTTGACTGACTGACTGACTCACTCAGTCCCCCAACTTGAGAGATGCGTAATTACTTCGAACGATGCCTTCAGTCGCTCCAGCCTCAAAAGGCACCTCCAACGGCTGCAACAACAAGATTCCAAAGTGCTGTGTTTGCAGCTGTCACCATCGGAAGCCACAACAAGCTCAACAGGACTCTCTGTGCGAAGTACCCATGCTCCATATTCCACAGCTGTGCTTCTGCTATGTAGAAGAGTGAATCTATGGGTTTTGTCGCTTCATTCTCTCGTCTGCTCGTTCCTCTGTCCGTCTCTCTGCTGGCCTGCTTGTTCGGCTGTTTGTTGGCGGCTCTTTCCGTTGGTTGGTCGGTCGGTCGTTCGCTCGCTCGGTCGGACGTTCACTTGCTCGGCCTGTCCGTATGTCTGGTCGAAGCGGACAATGGTGCCTCCATTCCGCCCAGGCAGAATGTCACACACTATGATAATCAGCGTGAGCCGCCACCGGAAGCCACAGAGACCCACAGGAAGCGGAGTTTCCATAGTCTTTGATGGGCTCTGTCATTTGAGCTCGACTTCGAAGAAATCGCCTCCCTCGTAAGAGCCTGACGCTGCTGATTCGGGAGACGGGCTCCCTGAGAATTATTACGTCCCATTGAGCGGTCTCTCCACTCGATTATGCGGATCACGCAGGCCCCCAATAATGATTCGGAATCTTCACTAATCACCGTCTCAGAAAGAAATAATTCATTAGCGGAGGAGAGAAGGGCATCTGAATCTGCAACGGATCTGAATCCCACTCCCCCACCTGTGGCCACGTATGTGATCGGAGTCACGGAAGGAAGCGGCGACGGTACTGAATTGGACGCCCCAGAAGCCCGGGAGACTCGTCGAGGGAAAATCGGGATAACCCAGTAGTAGGTACCTTACCCCAGAAACAGCATCACAAGACCGTAGGTGATGATGAGCTTTGAACGCTGCTCCCGAGGGCAATGACGAACTCTGTGCATTTTTCTCGAGGAGCGTTCCGCGCTGCTCCTCGTATCGTGTGGCCCATTTAGCTAGTGAACCTCCGGGAAGTCCGTTTAGGAGCGTTTCGGACCCGGAGTTCTGCAGCGGAGGTGCAGACGTGAGCAGAATGTTTCCATTCTTCGTACTGACAAACGATTTCCACATTGTGTCTACGGAGTTTGCTTTTGTTTTCAAAGAGCGGCAAGAGGGCCGACTGCCCCACAAGCAGCTGGCCCTACGGGTCTGCGGAATACTGGCGTGGTCCGGCGCGGATGGAGCCGGAAGGCAACTTGCATCTGCCGCAGAGTTGGTCAGCCACGACGGGCTCCTAACGATTCGAGAGGTGCAGCTCGAGCTCGCTCGGCCGTTCAAAGTTGCGCGGTATCGCACATCGCCAGCTTCCAAGTTTGCGTTCAGCCGCTGGATGTCGGAGAGCACCTCTCTCCTTCTTCGCTCGGCTCGTTGCTTGGATTGGGCTCCCAACCGAGAGACGGACAAGCTGTGTCAGAGAGGTCTCTCGAGCTGCCCGAAGAAAAATTCGCTCTACCGAAAGCCCCTCGGCCGAAGCACGATTTAATAATGGTAACGTTCCGCTAAGGTCAGCGAAGGATTCAGGCTGGGAGGTACGGAATTCAGCTGCCGAGCCTCGTTCGAGCTAAGGTCCCAAAGCGTCGACGGAAAACCGCCTCTCGCAGTCCTCCAGCTCCCCGAGCTCCTCTAGCATACGGTGGTTTCTGGTGACTCCGGGAGAAGGGGACCAGAAATCCATCAGCAACTAAATCCACCAGTCTTGATGGCGCCAATAGTGATGACGTCATATCCATTTGAGCCGCCAACCCCGAATTCCAATCGCTGAGTGCATGAAAATTATATCCCTCGAGTCGAGCATTCGAACTCTCGATTCTGTACGTACAGGTGCAGGTGAGAGACTCTGCTAGCGCTCCGCCGTAGATGCGCGAGAGTCTGAGCCTCGTTGGCTCGGAGAGTTGTGTTCTCGTTCAACGAAAATCCCTCGGCTCGACGAGGCAATCAAGGTGACTGACTGACTGAGCGAGTGACAGGCGATCCGACGAAGTTCTAACGAGGGATCGTGTGCGCCCCACTGGAGCTTAAGAACCTCCTGCACTTTTCTTACTTGTCCTTCGACGGGATAAAGCGAAGCAACAAGCCTGAGGAGCATTTTTCTCGCTTATCGCGCCTCAAATCTACAGGATATCCTTCCCTGTAGTATCCAACGCCCCGCTCTGAGGAAAAGGGAAGGAGACGCGCGGGGAAATCGATGGACGAGGCTGGAAGCTCAACAACTCGAAAAACGGACTTACCTCCTCCATTTTTGTAGCAGAGATAGGGAAACCTCCAGACGTTGCCGAGGCCGATGGCGTAGCCCACGCACGACATGAGGAAGTCGAGTTTGTTGACCCATTGTCCTCGTTCGGGTATGTCGGAGTTGTCCTCTTCGGTACCTCCACCTCCTGGACGGAGCGCTGCCAACTCGTGGCTGCTCCCGCCTTGACTGTTGGACTTGTCGACCGGCATTTCTAGCTTTCGGGAGCTAGTTCGGCTAGCTCGTACACACGGCTACCGCACGCTTCTCAACGAGCACCCAACCTCAACTCAGACAACCAGAGTTTAAAATCAACACATTGCAACAGTGAATTTCAACAACGTATTTGCAACGCCCTACGCGTCCACGGCTCCGCGTCGCCACCTCATAACAACCTGCGATAGATTTGAGAAAACGTTAGGGGCCTTCAACGTACGACTTCAGCCCGTGCTCGGAAGCGGGTTCAGAGATTTTTGGCATTCCAGAACAGAGGGTTCTCATTCGGGTTTCTCACATCCAATCAGCTTTCGAGCACAGAACAGATAGACGAGCATCGGACTTATGGAGGGAGCGTCATCCTTAAGCTTTCGATCTTCACTCATCTTCAAATCATGCACTTATCCCACGAGCTCGAATTTGGGAACGCGGCGCGGGCGAGGAATCTCAGAGGGAGTTCCCGAGAGAGAAGAAGATTATCAGCGGTTTGGCACTTCATGCGAGAACTACACGCGATCCGGAACTTCGCGGAGCTCATCTCGCGCTGAAGAAGTACACCCACACACACACACGAGCTGCCAGCAGAACGGACGGTCGATCCACTAAGAATCCATTTTACGAACTACACTACGATGAACAGGCATCCAAGATTCAATCCAACAAGTTAAAATCTAGTTTCGTACGGTATCGAAGAACGAGAAGAAGACGATGGACGAGCGGGTGGGCGGACGGGCGATCACGAACCAACGGGTCGACGTACAGACAGACACAGTCAGTCGAACCGAAATACCGAAGAACTGACTGAGAGACGTATCCAGAAGTCAGAAGCAGAAGTCAGACGACGCAGAAGAAGTGAAGCCGATTCGAAAGCTAACCAACTCACGGAGTGGTGGGAAGACGCGAAGCGACGAGTGCGTGTTCGAAGTTGGCTTATGGTACAGCAACAAGTTCTATTCTCTTCCCGTTGAATGGGACGCATGGCCCGGGAGACGATGTTTTGAGGGACCAGCAACTGAGGGAGGGCTGCTTAGGAGAGTGGAAGGGAGTCCGTCCCTTCAGGCTCCGCTGGAATAGCGAACGCAGCGCCCTTCCCAGCTGCCAGCAATCTAGCAACTCGACCAGCAACCAATCCAGCCATCCGAGCAAGCCACCATACAACTGGTCTTACAGCTTTACAACCAGCGAGTTCGAATCATCGATAACGGGACCAGCAACAGCACAACCATCGCTGAGCATCACAAGCGTCTTCGTCGGACACGCCGCCGGATCGATTCATCCTATTATCTTCAGAACGTCTTCCGACTCGATCGACTTCTGCACCGGGCCCGCGGGGAAGTCTCGACAGACCTCAAAATATCCGAAACTCTAACAATCAGACGTTCCGCAGTACGCGCATGGCTTTTCAGCGACAGAGCGAGCCTTCGTCGGAAGAAGCAGATATCATCCGTCCAGGGACCCCGAGATCTTCATTGTCTGGTTCGCGCGGGCACATCGGCGGGACGAACTCTTCCGGAACAGAATGAGTTTTCAGGAACGGGAGGCGATCGGGCCGAAAAACCGAGAGAGCTACTACTCATACTACGTAGTCTTCAGATAATGGCGGTGACATTCCTCATGATCGTTCGTGCCCGGAGCAGAAAACTGCGATAATGAGCCGTATCCGATTCCCGAAGACTCGGCTTCAGCCTCCCATAGAATGTCCAAGGGACCGGGGAGCCGACCCAGGGCTGTTGCGCTGGAGCCCGGCACGACCAAGTTGATTCCGCAGGCTCATTTCGCTCCAATAAAAGTTGATACTTCGCGGCCTCTGCCATATCGAAGAAAGTTTCGCCTCGATCAGAGTCCTAACTCGGAACACTACCTCCGCCCGCTCCGACGTCGATCGGCTCGCTTCCCTGCGTCCTTCTCCGGCACGGCCGCCGGCACCGCCACCACCACTGCCTCCTCCGCTATCAATCAATGGATTCTCACTCAGAAACGTCACCCTGGTGACTCGTACCGAAAATGATCCTTATTCCTCACGCTATTGATGGCGAGTCGCTATCAGAGACGCTTTTGTGCCGTCGTCATAGGCGCGGGAGGGAATCTCCACTGACCACTGGAGACTCACAACGTAATAGAACGACATCGTTGCCGGCAGACTCGCACGTTCGAGCTCGCGAAAGACCGATGATAGGAACCCGTTGTCTGAGCGAGAGGAGCTCGGGATTCCGATCGCACGAATTCGACATGGTGATTGTTAGAAACAAATTCGCGGAATTTTCGGGAGCAAAGAGGTTTTGAAGAAGCCGAAATAAACCGGGCGCCCTCAGAAGTCTCGAGTAGAAGAAACTCCGAGAATGGTCCCGCCAACGGGTCCCAGTTATCATCCGTGACAATGGACCGTTGCCTCGTTCATATCGTCGGGGCTTTGTTCCTCTTTGAGTCTGACTTATTTTGCCTCTCCGTTGTACATCCGGACTCGCCCATGCATCTTTCCGGTTCTCTGTTCTCGGTCAAGGGTGAAGTTTGGAGTACAACAGTAGGCGTGAAACCGCGGGCGAACGTCATTTCTGGTATGACTCGAGCGCTCAATCGTTACGACTCTGTTATACGGCGAGGCGAGCGGGCTGTCACTTAACTGGGAATGTAATGCTCGTCTGTTTACTCCGGGCGTCTATCGTTCGAAACAGGTCACTCACTGGGTGCCGGCTGTCGGTACGGCATCGGTCGCCATACAGCGAACAGTCTCCGGAAAATGAACGAATTGCCACAATATAACCTGAGAACAGACGCTTCCAGCATGGAGCCGAACGAGAGGGACGCGCTCCGGAATAAATTTCAACGAGCTCCGCGAATTCCGCTTTCTCATTCACGAGGCGATCTTTGACAGGGCGATCTCATCAACTCATCGGGAGGAAGGAGCGTAGCAAACAGGGACGGAAAAAGAACTCTCCAAACGCTCCGTGCTTATTTCGAGAGTGCAATGCCACCGTCCGGATCTTCCCGAGCTCTATTGCGTGGACTCTCGTCCTCAACCTGAGACCCGCACAGCAAAAAACGCCACCGGGTCGAGGACAGATCCACTGCGATAATATTTTCACCTAATCATCCCGTGTAATCTGAATAATAAGCCGGCAGGAAGTCTCAAGTCGTCGAGACCCGTCACACCAGACGCCGGAGAGCTCGGACAAAACGGGAAATCGCTCACAAATATGTGTGGACTGAGATAATTTGAGGCTCGTCGAGTGCATTGTTCGCGGGGAGAGGCGCCCTTCGGTAGTACGTGTTATGTGTATTAAAGTCCTTATCTCGGTGGGACATGCAGCTCGTTAATATTTGTACCGACCAACAGACGTTCAAGAGCCGCGAACGGAGCATGGAATTTCATGCGGCTCCACTGCAGATCAACAGAGCCAAAGACCAGAATAGATTTGTGAGAGGAGTCCGCTGCTCATTTGGTCAGCACAAGATACAACCCCTGCTCATCGACAGCGACCCTGAGCGGTGTGGCTTTCCGATGGCCGGCTCCTCATCGACCGATGGTAGCGTTCACTCGATGAACTCTCTCTTCCAGCTGGCCTCGGATTTTTCCGGGAACGCAGCCAGCCGCTCCTCGTCTTTATTCGTCGAACGAGAGTCGAGAACTTATTAGAGAGCAGACTAGATTCGCCCGGAAAAAGCGGCGGGTAATCTGATGTCATCAATTCTCGGAGGACCAGGGGTGTGAAAGAGGCAAGGGGGAGGGGGAAGTGGCAACGGTCAGGATTTATCTCCAGACAGCAATTCATCGAGTGAAATGAATATGTGAGCCGTAGTGTCGGGAAAGGATCCGTTTCATCAATCGGCCGTTCTCTGCGATACTTACAGAGTATCGGATTCGACGTCGTGCGTCGCGGAGTCGTTTGCGGCAAGGGATCGCTGACATGGTGTCGATACTGTGAGAGGAAGACGCAATCGGAATTCTCTGGGAGGGGTTCTCACCGAGTCTTCGACTGCGGTTTGAGCCCCTGATTCGAGTCAATGAACTGAGTCCTGACCCTAGATTCCTGGGGAATCTGTTGCTCGTCGGCAAATTCCCCAGAGTGGAAAACCTTTTTTTTAAAGTATACCGAAATAGCGGATAGAGACGAAATTAATATCCGGGCATGCTTGTTGAAGCCGTGGAAGATCTCGATGCAGCTTACATCGAGGGTCAGGAAGTTACGCCTCATCGTGAGAGCCCCCTCGTATGCGGCACGCAACGCGTTGGTCGAGGAGAATACGGCCAGCTTCTCGGAAAGTGACCTTTGGCCTTGTCGCACCGCTTCTCGCCACTGAGCTCATTCAAAGGAATTCAAAGGCTTCGTGGGAGAATCATCGGGCGCCTCGAGAAGAGCCCATCAAATGCCTTGCGGGAGACACGTTCGAGAAACGGCCCCATGGAACGCCCGTTTAAGAGTTGTGTTGAGCGCATTGTGGGGGTAAAGGCTTTGTCGGGGGCTCCGCCGCGTCGAGGAATTTCCAAATTGTTTCAAAACTCCGACGACGACGACCATGAACTCCGCGGCGTCCGAAGGAGTCAGAGGTGAGCGGAGAAGCTGCTCGGAGGCCGGGTGGGCATCCTTTATCTGCGGTCATCGTTTTCCGATGGCGATTCGTTGTTGCGCACAAGCAAGAGCGAGAGACACGCTGGCTTTTTCTGCGCCCTCCGAATTTACTTCCAAAGTTCATCTCGGAGTTTCGAACTTTCGCAAAGTCGTCACTGTGACCATGCGGAATCGGACACGCACTTGCTCCCTCGCTGTTCCGCCGGCAACTTTTCTCCTTGTTGCTCGCGAGTAATTCCTGCGATTCACACTGAGAAAATCGGAGCCGAGTCCCGATTCTGACGCGTTCGGTTCCGATCGACGTCCAGGACAAAAATTTCGGAGTTTCTTTTCATTTTTCTCGGACTCCGCGCGTACAGGTTATCGGTCAGCTCCTCTCCCTGGGGTCGGCATCGAGCCGACACGAAATCGATGGTGATCCACACCAGTTGCCGTCACCGACCGCCTCATTGAGGACGGGTGAGGAACGATTTTTCTGCAGTGGACTTGCGAGGCCGCTCTTCTCTCTAGAATCACATCACAAGCCGAACGAAACGGAGGACCTCCATCCCACCCCGGCATCCGGGGCAAGCGGAACAGAGAGAGAGAGGGGAGATGGACGACAAACAAAACAGCTGTTCCTGGCGTTTTCCATGTCGCGTCAAGAAACACGGTGGCTGAACCAGTGGTCGTAGAAACGAAGTCAGAAGGGTTTGGCTGCTCTTTTCTTCCGCAAGCTTGGGCAGGTTTCCAGGGAAACGAGAGGAAAGCTCCGCCAACGGAATGGTAGTCCAAAGAATGGATCAGATCCTCCTCCTTTCTGTCGTAAGCAGTACTGCGTCTCCGAAACGGTGTTCTCGTTTGAGCAAACCGCCTCTAGCATATGGAAGGTGCTCGCTGGTTTGCGGGATCGATTGAGGGGAGAAAGCTGGAAACCGTTCCCTCGGGCTTCTAGGGAAAGTGGGAGCTCTCGTTCCCCTCTTGCAGCTCTGGGGAAGTCTCGCGCGAACGGCAAGGGTATGCGTGTCGCAATGGTGTAAATTAAAGTCGGTGAAGAATAACTTCCGCTGAGAATCAGCTACATCACGCAGCTCATGAGCGGCGCCCTATAATCAGGAGGAACTCACAATGAGGCAGCGAAATTCCTCTTGCGGCACATTCCACAATTTTATTATCCGAGCCGACTCAATCATTTCCCTCGTCCGCAGCATACCGCTCTTGCTCGGTTGAATCGAGAGCTCCGTGTCAAGCAGCGGCGAGCCCGCAGCTCGCGTCCTTGAATAGGGTCTCCATGCTTTTCAATAGAACACTACAGGTGTGTTTATAGGTGCTTGGTATCGAGGAGTCACAACGGATGGTCTAGCGAGAGCAAGAACGATCCATAAGGAATACATTGGTCGTCCATCAGAATCCCATCATATCATCGAGATGATGGACTCGCTACGATCGGCTAGATGAATGAGAGCGTGAGTGACAGCTAATCGGAAAGCCGTTAGAACACGGAAACTCAGTTTTTCGCTGTGGTCGGAGCTGGCGAGGGGGACTGTGCCATCCCAATTAGCGTCCACGAACGTTACCCAGCCAAGCAGCGAACTGTTCAGGGAAGCTCGCAGAGAGTCACCGAGAGCAAGTCGTATCAACGGAGCGCGCGGGGTGTATCCCGCGCCACGAGACTTCTATTGGTCGCGTCGCTGGCTCCGTACCGCGTTCAGGGATATTGATTGGCCATAACCGTTTCCAGCGGTGCTCCACGGCGGCTCACAGAGTCGGTTCCTTTCGATCGAATCGTCGTCGGGTGAACCTGCCCGTCGCTACGCATAGTTCGAACGCACTCCTGATTGATACGAGGCTTTTTCCACGCAAGCGGCTCGAAGACAAATGAACAGATTCACCGAGAGAAGGCGCAGAGACTCATCGACCGACCGACCGCCCGACCGACCGACTGATTGTGACTGATACTCGGACTCGAAGCGTAATGACCTTCTTCCCTCCGGTGCGCCGTGTTGATAATTTCAATTGATCGACACGTACGCAACGTGTCGGATATCGATAAGGCTCGTTCCCCACGTATTTATCCTCCTATCATCGGAGCTTATCGAGCTGCTCGCCAGCCAGCAGTGCATGATGTTGAGGAGGAGTCCGGTGCCCTGAGGCACGCAGTCGAACGATTCTCCGTCTCCTAAGGTGGGCGAGCCACAGGCTCTGCCTGACCATATTATGTGCAGATACATTCTTCCAGGTGGATGCCCGGTGATTTCCGGTCCCTGACGCCGATACCCATGATCGCCATTCAGAGTCTCTGTCTAGCACGGATGCTAAACTCGACCCGAGTGCGAACACGGTTGAAGCCGTTGACGGGGAGGAAGATGATCCGAGAGCTCGATCTTTAGAAAGATCGGCAGGGTTTAGAGTCCTATCCTAGATTAGAGTCCTCATGTCGATTGATCTGGACGGAAATACTGGCTCGTGTCCGACTGACTGAGACTTCCTTTCTGACCAGAATCGGCCAGACCCGCCTCGCTGGAAGCGCAGAGTGCGCCGAGGAGCTCCTGACTCTCAGCACGCTCGACTCCGTCAGTTCGGTCAATGTCCCCATTCAACGGCTTCTCCTTTCTCATCTCATCCATGACTACGGTCATCTGGCCAAGCTCGAGTGCGGCTCCTTTCAGATGAGGCTTGATCGCAGACAAATCGCACCTTCCCGCTGTAGGCGAAGTCGGTCGCTCGAGTCGGCATCCAATCCAACGGTCAAATCGATGCGTAGCGCAGCTGCCCCGAGATCGCGGATCGAGTGCTCGCGTTACGTTTCGGTGGCACGCTCGAATTCCGGTCGACGCTGCGGGAGAGGGCAGGCGAGGAATTTCTTGCCGCTTGATCAGGCCGGATGTTTCCGGGCATCAATATGAATTCAATCCACGATTCCCTATCCTGCTGTTTCCGAGTTTCGAGGGGATCCTCTCCCAGAGAAAGTTGGTCATGGATGACCTCCCCCAGATGGTCGCATTGCTCGGAATGCTCTTCGATTGGGTGTAGGGAGTAGGTACCATTTCCACCTTCGTCCAGCGCAGGCCGATCGGTGAGCGGGTAACGTGGAAGCTCGAGGGTCTCTGGGTAGGGTGTGGTTTTGGGGGGAGCTCCACGGCGAAGCTTCGGCCTTGGCTCGGAGAACTGATGCTCGAATAAGTCTATCGATGTTCCCATGCTCAGAATCGTCGATGAAGAGCAATGAGAAAATGGGCCTTGCTTCGCAAAGACTCAGAAGAGCCCTTCCGTCTTGGAAAGTCTTGAAGGTCCTAACTGAAGGCGGACCATCAGTAACCTTGCCGATGAATTCGAGAAAGACAGAGATATTCATGGTTTTCCTATGATCGGTCGATGAGGCGGCGGAGAATCCAGTGAAATCTGGCGTCTGGAGAGCAACGGCTCAGGTCCGAAGTAGGCAGCCACGGAAGTCGCGTCCCCGAATTCCGTGGCCTCGTTGGACAGCGACATCTCGATCGGACTCTCCTAGGAGACATCTCGCTTGTCAGTGTGAGCAAAACTTTCTATGAATCACGATCCGCTCTATGATTAGGAAAGAGCAGACTTATGGACGGCGGCGTGGTCAGCGTCCGCGTTGAGGTGAAGCGTGAAATGAACCTCAGCGTTCGCCACGGGACAGAATTACAGGTGCCGGGGTTGGATCCTCTGTACTGCGGAGTCCCTCATTCCCCCTGCGGAGAAATTCTACCGGGAAAAACACGTTTCCCGTTTCCTATACAAGTCTTCGAACGTACTCACTGATTCCGACGCGACCCTGTGGTGCACCGGCACCGCCGGCGAGTCACCTGTCGAAATTCTCTCTCGAGAAGGGGGGCCATTTAGAATGGAGGGGGGAAAGGTGGGGACCGAGTGGCTTCGAATCAGAAATGCGGTGCCCGAAAGGACACACCCCTGCTAAGCTTACAACATCCTGATGTGGTGGACCCTTGCGGCCCCATCGAAGGCGGTGGCGTCAGATTCGTGCTTGAAACGACTTCGGCCCACCCGTCAAGATTTGTGAAGCCCCTCTTCCGTTTCTAGCGAAAGAAGATCGTAAGTGACGAGAACTCTTAGTAATTACGTATCCAGAATACCTTTCCTGACTGATCATCCTATTTTTTAACTGCCGGCCCACGCGGTTATGGCTCAACCCAATTACTGATGTCCTCATTAAAATATGGTGTCGTTCCGAAGTGCCTTCTCACGGTCCCCAGCAACTAGAGTTTTTCACCTAAATCGCTCGAAATGCCCAACCCCTCTGTGAGTACGCGCCGGCTTGCGGTAGACTGGAAATTCCAGGCTCTGAATTCGGCTTACCATCACAGCATCCGTAAAGAGAGGGGGTAGTTTCTAGATCTTTCGTTTATTGACCATCATGGATGGACTGGGACGCTTTTAAGGTAAATCTATTGCTCTGACATGAGAGGTATGATATTTTACAGAAATGGAGTCGCAGAATCGCCTGACTGGAGCGACGAAAATCTTCAGACTCAGACCTTCATAATATGAATACAGAAAATATTTTCTGTGAATGTCGTGCCTTGGCATGCCTCGACACTAGCTTGCATGCGAATCATCCGTACTAGTACACCGAACATGTTCCCAATCGCTCAGGGATTCTCGCATGAAATCGCTCCCGCTCTTCTTATTCTCGCTCTCGGGAGGCGGATTTTGCTGATTCTCGACCATGTAGATTAAGTACTATTATTGCCAGATGATCGGAATCGAGAGTCAGCTCGTCGGATTAATTTAAAATTATGCCCTTCGAAAACAAAATGGATCGTTGAGAACCTTAGATGAGGCCGGCGTCCTTGGCCATCGCGTGGAACATTGAACTGGGATCTTCGAGGAGAGTTTTCGGAGAGTCGTATTCTGACACGCTTCCTTCGGATAGAACCAGAACTCTGCAATGGGTTTGGGGAGAGTTTTAGCCAACGCTCCCACGACTGGAGACCTTCGACAATGGAACTATGGATCACAACAATCAACTCGCAGCCTACCTGTCGTAATCGAGTATGGTGTTGAGTCTATGGGCGATCGTGAGCGTCGTTGAGTCCTTGAATTCTTTCTTGAGCGTTTCTTGAATAAGATTATCGGTTTCCATGTCGACGGCCGCCGTCGCTTCGTCGAGGATCAAGATCTTCGATTTCCTGAGGAGAGCTCGGGCAAGACAGACCAGTTGCCGTTGCCCGACGCTGATGTTCTCTCCACCTTCGGTGACTTCGTGCTCTAAACCCTTCTCGAGACCAGTGACGAAGTCCTTCAAGTGGGCCTGCTCTAGAGAAGCCCAAACCGCCTCGTCGCTCTTCTCGCCGAATGGGTCGAGATTCTCGCGGAGAGTCCCGGAGAACAGTACGGGGTCCTGAGGGATGATCGTCAGCTTCGATCGAAGGTCGTGAAGACCTATGCGCGAAACGTTGAGTGCGTCGATCGAGATGTTCCCTTCTACGGCTTCAATGAGTCTGAACAGAGCGAGCGTCAACGACGATTTACCGGCGCCTGTTCGACCGACGACTCCCACCTGGACGGAGGGGAGAAGATACGGCGTTTGTTCGTTTTGCAAACCTGAGTTTCGACAGCGGTTTCCTACCTTTGCTGCGATAGTTTCATGTGCGAATAAAAACACTCGGAATCCGTGTTGTCATGTACTAACTTTTTCGCCCGGTAGGATCTGGATGCTGATGTTCTTCACGACAAGAGGGAGGCCATCGCGATAGCGGGTCGAGTAGTTTTTGAAGTCTATAGCGCCTTCGGCGGGCCATTCCGGGTCGGGTCGATTGCTTTCGACGATCCACTCGGCCTCTGATTCGACTTCGGCGTATTCGAGACACCGCTCGATCGAGACGAAATTCGTCTCAACGTCCGAAGAAGCTTTCACCAGCATGTTCAAGGTTGTGGTGACCTGCGAAAGAGTCCGTCTCGGTCAATACTATCGTTGAGCGTTTCGACTCGGATCTCTCGCTTCGGATCGCGATACGGGAGCGGCGCTGACGGAACTTCCTCGGTCATTCCTGATTCCTACTCACCGTTAGTGCAGCCGTGACCGAGAGACCGGCGTAACCTGGAGACAAGCGGTCGCGCGCCAGGGCCGCCAGAAGAGCGGCTAGGAAGACGATCATGTAGCCGAGGAACTCGAGACGCACCGATAGCCAACGCGAAGCGACTATCGACGGATAGTAGGCAGTGTGATTGATGTCTGTTTTCATATTCGATATATCCACGAAGCGTTTCTCTGCTCCGTAGGCCCGAATAGATGAGCTACCGGTCAGAGTTTCCGAAAAATGAACGTAAACTGGAGATCGTGAAGTGGATTCGATTCTTTTCAGATGTCGGGAACAGGCTATGTAGTATTTCTGCGGGGAAGAAATCGGCTCAGGTGAGTTTCTCCTCGATTCTTGCGAGGAGTAGCTCTTTCGCAATTATGCCTTCCTCGTCGTCAGATTTGATTCTTCAATTCTCCAGCAGGGCTTTCCGAATGAGTCGGAATCAGTAGTGTCACTGGGGAGCCTAGTAAGACTGACGGCGTGAATCAGAATCTGCGGGACAAGATCACGCACCTGGACCACGAAGTAGATTACCACGAGAGGTAATGCCAGAGCGAGAAAAATCGGAGTTTGCATCGAAATCAACACCAGTGACGCAAGAGTCCTGAAGAACTGTTGGACTACCATCCTCAGGTTGAATCTCATCGTGATGTCGGCAGTGTCGATATCCTTAGAAAACCTAAAACATCCAACGATGATTATAATCAGCGCTGCTTCCCCGCATTCGATCGGCCCTTGATCAGGAACGATCGCTGACTGAGCGTCACGTGCAAATTGATTAATTCATTACAGTTGTTCGCCCTCGGAAAATATCGCTCTACCTGTTGAGTATACGACCCATTGGCGTCGTATCGAAGAAAGACATCGGAGAGCGAAGAATTCGCTCAAGCATCCTCTCATGAAGAACTCGCCCGCCTTGAAGTGCGATCAAGTTCAACGAGATTGACGCCACCAGAGCTGCAATCGTTTCCCCCACTCCCCAGGCAGCATAAACACCGAGTCGGTAATCCCTCTGCGAAGTGCTGTTCCTCAGCTCGGGCTTGAGCGAATCCTCGCTCCAGGCCGATAACCAGAGCGACGTCATGATATTGAACACGCTCGTTAGGACGAAGGCGACAAGAGTAATCGCAGAACCGATTGCGCCCATCGCGACGAGGTAGTCTCTGTAGACTGTCCATTTCACGGAACCGACGGCCGCCTCTTCTTCTTTTGTGAGGGCGGCGCCTGGTCGGGCTCTCTTCTCGTGTTCTTGTGCAGATTCGCGACGTGACAGCTTTGATTTTTCCGAGGGAATGCTCGACGCAGTGGATCCCTGTCGCTGCCTGGATGAGCGTCTCCTAAGGCTCCCGACTTCAGAGACGTTGTCATCGTCCCCATTGCTTGTCATCGAAATTTGCCTGAGGGATAATTCAAGCCGGTGAGTGAGGCTTTGTCTGAATACGGAACTGAGGCCATTCGGTATTGGTGAGGCTAGTCGGCCGCGCTCGAACGGGGGCGAATCTTACTTCATGAGATGCGGTGGTGCGGCTCCCTCCTTGACAATTTCCTCCATAACTTTCATATCCTCCTCGGGAATTTCGTCACTACTCGCTTTTTCCTGGAGGTGCTGCACCAGGAAATCGGCGAACGCTCCTTTGCGTGCGACGAGCTGTTTATATGTCCCCCACTCGGAGATCGTCCCGTCCTTGAGAACGTAGACCACATCGCAATCGGCAAGAACGGAGAGACGATGCGTCACGAGGATTCGGGTCTGCTCCGACAAAAGCGAAGAACATGGGATGAGACGCTTGGCCATATAATCATCCACTAATATAATATCCCCGGGCAACGAATTCTCTAATCAATGAATAATTCAGCTCATATTGTGTGAACGGAAAAGAGCGCGCTGTCCTCTCACCTTTGCTGAGAGGATTCCTTTGTTGCTGATGACTTTGTCGAATATGTGCTTGCTGACATGAGAATCAACAGCCGAGAGCGGATCGTCGAAATAGTAGTTATCGGAGCCGGCATAGACTGCTCTCGCCAGAGAAATTCTCTGTTTCTGTCCACCACTCAGATTGATACCTTTCTCACCAACTTCAGTCTCGTCGCCTCCAGGTAGGATGGCTAAATCAGCTCTCAGAGCACACACATCCAGAACCTGCTCGTAACGAGCTCGATCGTATTTTCCTCCAAACAGAATATTATTCTTGATCGACGTCCCCTGGATCCAGGCCTGCTGCGGGACGTACGCTACAGAGCCCTGAAATCGAGTCCAAATCAGTTTCCTGTTCTTATCGTTCGAAAATCTTCTCCGCGACGCGATCAGCTCCCAATAAGAAGTCCCGGCTGTCTTCCGGTCGAGGGTTTGAGTAGCTCACCGAAACTGTAACGCTTCCCGTCTTCTTTGTGACGTCCCCAAGCAGCGCACTCAAGAGTGTGGATTTTCCTGTTCCCACCGTTCCGACGATGGCAACCAGCTGGCCCCTCTTTATTTCCATGTTGATGTCTTTCAAAGCGGGACTGATATCTGTGCCTGTGCCATATTGGAAAGTTCCGTCTTTGATGCTCACCGCGGTACCTGTCGGATTGAGTTCTTCTTAATAGCCTGCTTTGGAGCCTTCGCCGCGTACTGGAGCTCTTCGAACTTCGCCTGCTTCTTCTCGATCATGGCCAGAGGCTCTGGCCCAGAGCTTGAGTGTCGGTGATGAGCCTGAATACCCATCCCGGTAGGGGCAGGGGATTGGTGATAATATACGGAGGAAATGTCTTCTGACTCACCGCTGTCTTTAATCTTCGTCACGGCGTTTTCGTCGAGTTCCTCGCATCGGAGATACTTGTTGAGTCGCCCCACGGAGACGAAAAACATCGCGAAATACGTGATCAGTATCGGGAGGAGGGCCAACGGCACTTTCAAAATGTTGAACAAGGATAGCGACACGAAAGCCTTATTGGCATCGAGCACATTACTCGGATCACTCAACACGAAAGCGGCGAAAGAGGCCAATGCCACAAGGAAGGGAGCACTCGTGAAGGCGAATACCATGAAACCACTGAGCCACGCCTGCGCCTTCAGAGCGCTCAGTTCCTTTTCCCGGAGCTTGGTGATGCGCTGCATGAAGGAGTTCTCCCACGCGTACAGCTTGACTACTTTGATTCCGCCGAGAATTTCATTCATGAGTTTTGTACGTTTGTCTTTGTCACGCATCAAAGAGATCTGCAACATACGACGGGTCAATTTCTCGACCTTCGCTCTCTACCTGACCGGAAGCTCTCCGAATTGCATCGCCCACTCGAGCGAAGTTTTGATCTCTGACAAGGGGTGACGATTCGCAGTTTTGCTCTCGACCCAGTGGATCTCGTCCTCAAACGAGGTGGGAGCCGGAAAATCGCGGCTCGCTTACCTGGTATTTCCGGAGGAAGGTGGTCACGACCGCGTTCACCGGCATCAACAAGATCATGACGGAAACACCACCGAGGGTTGCGATGCCCAGCTGCTGCCACAGCATGTAGAGAGCGATGCCGATCATGAGGGGAACGGACCACAGGAGGTTCATCATGTGCACTTGTTCCATGATCCTGTGGAGAGGTCAAGGAACGTGTCAGCTAAACGGAGCCCATCTCTCGATGGATTACATCGCGCCGAAAATCAAGAATCCGGAACAACAAATACCTTTGACTGTCGACAGACATCAGGGTCACGATCTCCCCCGTGGTGAATTGACCCCTCGCCTGTGAGCTCAGTTTCAGTGCTTTGCAGTATACGGCGTACGTGAGCGCAGAGCGCACGCGCATCGCGAGACGGTATATGCGGTATTCGTATTGACCCGTGAGAATCGACTCGAGCATGGCCGAGAACAGCATCACAGCAGCCAAGAAGACTCCTTTCCACAGCGGATCTGCACCATGAGCTCGATTAGCGAAAATTCTCAGTGATTGCTCGAGGAAATTCCTCCCCATTATTTTTTTGAGACAGTCCCGAAGTCGGGTATCGAGTTGACTTCTTGAGAAACTCACCGTCGGAACTAACGAATGAAATCAGCGCACTGAGAACATTGGGGGACACGAAGGCTAGGAGCGAGGTGATGAGCTTCAAGAATGCGATGCCCAAGAAGTTCCAACCGAAGGTTTTGGACAAGGGGACGATGATATTTACTCGACTTTGCAGAACAGAGTTCCCATCATCGTCGGCCTTGCCGCTAGTCCGTGTTTGTTTCTTCTGGATTTCGGCTTCGTAGTGGGGCAGGAACTTCCTGATGACCCCTTCCGTTTTGTTCTCATCGTCAAGTTCCCAAAGGTCGTCCAAACGAATTCCGGAGTCTTTCTGGACCCTTTGATAGCCGAGAGCGATCAGACTGTGGAGGAAGAGCTCCTTCACTTCGTGCACTTGTTCTCTCCTAAGGCGTCACGGATAATTTTGCATGGAATGGAGCTCAACTCACCCGTTGAACCACCAGAACCAGAAGATGGAGAGGTACGAGGCGTCATTCTCTGGAGAAGACCTGTCGCTCTTCTTTCCGATGTAGTAGGACAATCGCTTATCCGCGAAACAGTTCAAGACAAGCTGAGCCAATGCGAGAGGGAAGGTGCACGTCGCCAAAACGAATCGGAGTCGACTGGGAACCACGAACTGCGAACAGAGTACCGCTTTTGGAAATCCGACCATGTAAATCCACGGAAATGACCGAATCTTCGGACGAGCCGCAGAGAGCGACCCAGACTCGCAGTCTGAGGCTACGTATTGCTCGCTCACCCTCGGCTCCGATTCGAAAGCTCCGAGCAGAACGGAGCGATAGCGGATTCCCGTTGCCACAGCGTAGAGTAACCAGAAGACGAACAACGAAATCGAGCTTATTTCACCCTTCATCTTGTTGTGGAATATCAGCGCCGCGACTCCGACCTGGAATTTCAAAGGCGAGGCTCTCACTTGGCGCTACCCTCCTACGCGAGCTGGTTAGATGAAATCACACGGTGCTTTGATTGAGGGCCCGATGCGCGTTCTCATCGCGAGAGACTGATTTATTATTATTACCAAGGTTAGGAGCTGGATCAGGGGGCTCCATAGTTGCGAGGAGTAATACCCCAGCGGGAGGTGGGTCACGTCCCATATCTCGCAAATCTGCACCAAGATCAGCACGACGCAAATGCACTGGAACGAAATTGAGTTCATAGAAAATCATGGAGCGGAGCCTTCCGTCGGCATCTCAAGTTTAACCCCGTCATGACGCCCCCGCCACTTCAAGTCTCCAAGCGGCTGCGCTTCGGTGAGTTCACCTATGCGCGAGAGTATGTATGACTTACCATTTTGGCGATGAGAAGAGCAGTCCATGGCAGCCTGATTCCTCGTTTACGGTTGAGCAAGAGTTCAAACAACGAGGAAATGAAAAACAGCGAGCACGGCGTCCATATCAGGCACGTGTCTTGGAAACACTGAGTGAAGTCTGGGTTCGAGGTCCCAACCCATGTCAAATTCCAGTCCTGTAATTCAATGCCAACTCGATTTGAGAATGACTTCGAACTTTGGGAAGCGCGGGCGCTCCGATCTGGCGACGCTCCGGGGGGGGGGAAGAGGTAGAATCCTCAGAGCTCCTCAGAGAAACCCATCGCAGAACAAGCCCATGCCCCATGCATATCTTTCTTGGAGACAGGTCTCTCCCGGCTTGGGCTCGAGCCGAGATCAGGTCGCTATAAGTAGTTTCGAAGAGTTAAACCATTCCCGTTCGATTTCGCTCCGCCATTGAGCATCAGAGTTTGTTCAGGGCAGGTGGGCTCGACGGAAAAGTGGGTCTTCCGCTCTGAGAATCTGACACGCGGAATCGTGGGCAGAGTAGGAGAAGCCAGCGAGTATTCGTTGGATTCCTCTCTTCTAGGTCAGCTCTAACATTCGATGAAAAAGAAACGGCGAGACTCTCGCTTCGATGCTCATACAGCCCAATTGAGAAACATCAACGACCCATTCTACCGAAATTTCTCTATTGCCAACCGCCCTCGCGGGATTTCGGCAAAACGATCGTTCGCTCAGTGGAAGGCGACATCAGATAGTGAGGTTACGGAACATTTGATCGAGCGTCGGAGAGCGTTCACCCATTTGACGTAAAGATGACGGCGGACAGTGATTTCTCTTGCGGAAGGAGAGAACAGCTCTCGATTCGTTTTACGACATTGCTCGTTTGTTTTGCTCGTTTGAACCGGGTCCGTATTAGAAACACGGCAGATTTACGATACAGGAACCTAGGATTCTGCCATCTCATGAGGCGATTTGCTTATGCATTCCAAAAATTGCTCGCGGGAAACACCGCATGCGAGATGTAATCGAATTTTCGAGACTTTGCTGCCTGCACTCGATGCGATGACGCACCCCCGGAAGAGATTGTCAATGAGCACTCCGATATCTACGACTTCCTCGAGCACTAACTACCAACAGAGTCTCTAATCGGACTCTCCGTGCTTTTTCCCGATCGAGTAGCGGAGAATAGTCCCGAACGATTCGTCCTCTGATGCATCGGATATCTTCGAGGATTCGCTCTCATGACTCACATACTCGAAAAAATCGGAAAACAGAGAGGGAGATTCCCGAGTCTCGGCCCTTCTCCGCACAACTTCCCGAATGGAGCTAGAATATCATCGATATTTGATGCCTCACTCCGCTCTCAATCATGAATCGTCGCGCAAGCGAATCTGATAGCTTGTCTGCTAATCCGAATAAAGCTTCTGAGATTCTAGCTGTCATACCCAGTCTCGAAGCCTTGCCCCCCTATCGCACGATAGAAAACTAATGCCAGCGAAATGCGCCCGTCACTCCGCGGAGTCCGATCTCTCGGAGAAGCCTTCGACCGGGGAAATAAGCTCTTCGGCGGACAAGCGGGCGCGCGCAGTGTAACCGGGGAAAACTTCCAGGGCATCGATAGAAAGTCGGATGCCGAAGAAGCGATGAAAATGTGTTGGCACCGGCCGAAAGTGCTGTCTCCAGTTTAGACTCTTATTTGGATGATCATTAGTTCCGAACTTACTCCAAGATCGATCATATGAATTTCTCGTCTGATTATGACACCGCTTCAGAGACCGATCAGAAGTTCATCGGCACCTTCCAGAAAATCGCTAACGGAGATCGTCGCCCTCTGTCTGAATAATCCGCTCCGGTTCCCGTTCATAAATCGAGGAGCTCATCCAGAGATCTGAGTTCTCTCAGTAACTTCCGATCCCGATGGATCCGGGCTTCCAATTCGCTAAATTGCATTCAGGATTTTGCGTGAATCGCGCCGCATGAGAGTGCGTTTTTGAGCTCCGACCAAGGGAAGTTTCCTTCAGTCTCGTCCCTGCTTCCTGCCTCTGGCTCTTGTCGGAACCTACACGCCCCCAAGAACCGTGTCGGAGGCGGTATGAAAGTTTTGAAATCCATTCCCTCACATTGCAGTGTCTTCAGTTCCGAGTCACCAAAAGGTAATTATCGCCGGAATTCGGCCGGAAACCTGCTCCACGCGCCACCGAAGCGAACGCGGCATCGTTCCTGGAGTTGTCAGAATGCAATCTACGCCATTCATTGGCCCTGTCAGTCGAACTCGAGGAAATCAACTTACCCACACTGGTCCTCCACAAAAGTCCATGGCACCGCGTTGAGCAGCGCCGAAACGAGTGTGGTCTCCGTAGCGGCAGTGTGGGAGACTTGAGTCGTTTTAAGTCCCTGAGCTGACGCACTTTCACGGCTAGAAAACACCCGCCATCAATTCGAAACTGAATCAATGATCTACTCGAGACCAGTAGAGTTTGATAACGCTTTTTCTTTCCCCCTTCCAAAGGAGTCGTCAGCTGATTATTCGATCGAGCGAGTAGCAGCACGCGAACAGCTGACGACAATGACTCGCGAGCGGTCGGTCTTTCAAAATCGGCGCCAGAGCGCTCACCGGTACTCCTCTAAACGCGCCTGAACATCGCCTCAATGCCGCAAAGTCGGAGCGCTTGAAACCCTTGTTTTTCGTTGTTCTAATCTCTGGTTCAGACCGTCAGAATCTCCTGGAGCTCTGTATTTATTTGTGTCATCCTCCCGCACCATCAGATATCTAGGCATTTAACTCTAGGCATTTATCGTCGCATGAAATTGAAGGCGCGAGGTCAGCGGTCGACGGAGAAGACCTCAGCGAAGTCACAGCGAGTAATCGTCGCGTGAATCTACCGGTGAACGCTTAGCTAGGGGAGACTTCCTCAGTCGATTCGGTCAATTTTCTTCGCCCTCGTCCTCTGCAAGCTCCTGGCGTTTTCTGCTTTCCCGAGAACACGTTGGCTGCGCCGTGAATCCTAAGCCAGTTCTCCTGTGGCTCGAATAACCGCCGAAGAATCATGCAAGCTCTGGGCGAGGATGCGACGCGTCGTCCGCCCTCATTGAAGACACTGTCTCCGCTGTCCTCTGTCTCTTTCTCCAACTCGTGCCCTCGCTTAGTGGGAGTTTGAAAACGCGCGCCCCTCTCTGCTGTCTGCCCCGAGCAGCAGCCGAGTACCGTCAGCCGCCATCTTGAAAACACTACTTTGCAGCCTGGACACACGGACTCCTCGAATCAAAAGTATCGAGTAAACAAAGGTGTAGAGTACGGGCTCCGTTGATCGGCGTCGCTGTCACCGATTAGAGGAACTTGTGTGGAGAAATGACTTCCTTGAGGTTACTCCTGCCCGCCCCCACGCAGAGCATATACGCTGTGCAGAGCGCAGATGAGGACATAAACAAAAATGAGAAAAAGGATCCCTACGCTCATTTACCCCCTTACGGTGAACGTAAAGGTTGGATACCTCGCAAAGTGAGTGAATCGACCCATTGATGCCCTATATGCGCGCTCGATGCCCGACAGGAGCACTGTCGGCTGAGGAGTTCGATTTGGCAGACATCAACAAACGATGGCTCCCCGATCTATTACAGCTCGAAGACTATGGAGACGGGGGCGCATACCCCGAAATTCAAACAGTACAGTACCCGCTCGACATGGGTCGAAAGAAAGAGAAAAGCGGTAACGCTCTGGCTCTGCAGGTGGACGCTCAAGGTATGTGGGCTATATCGTATGAGTGATTCAAGTGCAAAAATTCGGTAGGCGGCATCGAAGCCGCAGATCTGAGGACGATAAAACCCCGGACCTCTGTCCCACGTCGGTTTCCGTCGGCCTTTTCCATAGAATCGTGCAGGACATGACCTTATAATCGCTTCTTTTTACAGGAAAAGTGAAATATGACGCACTCCTCAAGCAAGGAGCCAATAAAGATAAAGTGGTATATTCGAAATTGAAAGATCTCCTACCCTACGACCTAACCGCCGAGGACGAAGAAGAGCTAAAGAAACCGGATGAAGAAGAAATCGCGAAAATCACCGAAGAAACAAAGAGAGCCCTAGAGAAACTAACTCATTCCAAAGTGACATCGGCCATGCCCGTCCGAGCGGCCGAGAAGGCGGCTCCAGCGCAATACATCAGGTAGGCTCTTGAGATTTCCGCGTTGAACTCCTTTCTGGACAGTCCCAGAGCTGTTCGTTGGTTATTCGAGAGCTTCAGCCCGGTAATTATCCTCCTCATTAGTCAGCGCTTGTTTCCAGGTACACACCCGCTCAACAGGGACCTGAGTTCAATTCAGGCGCAGGTCAACGAATCATTCGGATGATCGAAGCTCAGAAAGATCCCATGGAGCCTCCTAAATACAAGATCAACAAAAAAGTAAGCGAGCCCGGAAATCGACGATCGTGACGACGATCTACCTGCTGATAGATATTCCTACGCAACTCCATCTCCTCGTAGATACCTCGGGGCCCCCCGTCACCTCCACCCCCTGTGATGCACTCGCCAACGAGGAAGGTCACGGTGAAAGAGCAACAGGACTGGAAAATTCCGCCCTGTGTCAGCAATTGGAAAAACGCGAAAGGTTAGCTGTCGATCGATGAGTATAAATTAACCTCTCGGACTCTTCGTCACTGTCTTGTACCCGGCGCCCAATGAAGACTTCTGGGAATCACATCCGTCTCCGTTCCTATTCACAGGATACACAATACCTCTGGACAAACGATTGGCAGCCGACGGACGAGGACTGCAACAACAGCATATCAATGAGAAGTTCTCGAAGCTCGCTGAAGCGCTCTTCTTAGCCGACCGTAAGGCTCGTGAGTCCGTTGAGGCCCGAGCTCAACTCGAAAGGAAGGTCGCCGCCAAGGAGAAAGAAAAGAAGGAAGAACATCTGCGACTCATGGCACAACGGGCTCGTGATCAGAGAGCCGGTATACGGAACGTTGAAGACGTGAGTGTTTCGACTGACTTATCAGCTCTCGGTCGTTTCGCATTATCCCATTTCGCCGAACGTCGGATCATAAACGCGCTCGCTTCCAGGATGAGGACGAAGGCGTGAAGGATCGAGATGCCCTCCGACAAGAGAGGCATAGAGAACGCCAGAGAGATCGAAATATTGCGAGAGCTGCGCCCGACAAAAGGAACAGGTTGGAGCGTGAGAGGGATAGAGATATATCCGAGAAAATAGCCCTAGGTCTCCCATCGACGAGCGGCGCTCGCAGCACGGAGGTCCAGTTCGATCAGAGGCTGTTCAATCAGAGCAAAGTGAGTGTCAGAGATTCACACAGCGCGCGGAAGGACTTCCGATAGAAGAGACCGGCACATGCTGACGATTTTCGCATTCACAGGGAATGGATTCTGGCTTCGGTCACGAGGATGACTACAATGTCTACGATAAACCTTGGCGTAAAGACAAGGGAATTTCTGGTCAGCTCTACAGACCTCGCGGCGATAGAGAAACGGCTGAAGACCTGGAGACTATGATCAAGACCAACAGGTTCGAAAATCTATTGAGGGTGCCTCTTGCAAGATCCCTCCGGTTCTTTGGAATGACCACTCGGATGAAACAAACCCTGCAGATGGCCTGCCGAATTCGATTTATTCTACGCTCTTGCTTGCTCTCTCTTACAGGTTCGTTCCGGACAAGGAGTTCGAGGGCACAGATCGGTCGGAGAGTTCGAAACGTCGTGGTCCTGTGGAATTCGAACGAACAGCTGAAGTTGAGGAAGATCCGTTCGGGCTCGATAAGTTCTTTAATGAAGCCAAGAAAGCCAATAAGAGACGAACGGAAAGCGACAGTAAGGCGGGGAGCAGCAACAGCAGTTCGAAAAAACGGCGAGACTGATTCGGGGACCTGTCAAACAGAATGTACAATAAAGAAATCCTTTGTATCGATATCGGTACCTGTATTTAGAGTTCTGCGAAGTCTGTTGGTATCGAACAGGAACGAGGGAACTCCATCACAAGCGTGGCTCTTCCTACCGCGGGCTCACGTCACATTTCTGCCGATAGCACTTCCGAAACAACATTCTGTTTTCGGAGAGGTCGCTCGGCTTCATTGAGCCTATTTCCCGATTAAAGTTTCCAAGATTTCCCAGAGCGGTGAAGCTCTCGGATCCCGGAACCTCCCCATTGGATGAATTTCAGACGGTGCGAGAATGGAGCGTAACAGTATGAATGCATGGAAACCATGTGAGCGAAGGAATCATGTTAATCGGGGCTACGAAGGCGGTTGTGGAGCTTAAGCGCAACATGATTGATCGTTGACTGCTGGCGACGGCACTGGGTGCATTGGGCAGAAAACTCAAGATTCCAGATGATTCTTGTGTGATATGAGGAGATCGGCTTCGCGGCCTCATGCCCCGAATGGACTCGGATTTTGAGCGGCGAGAGCATCTCATCTCATTAAAAATAGATTGAGCGCCTCAGTTCAAATTTCCCCGCCCTGAAAAGAGCATTGGCCCCCTCGTCTCCAGACATTCATCGGCTCATTATCCGGGATTTTCTTCATCCCAGAGAGAGCCTAATCCTCTCCGACTTCTGCTCTCCGTAAGCAGCTGGATGCTTTCTTGGCCGATGAATCGGCCTCTTATTTCAGTATTGCAAAGGAAGCATAGCGTCTGATGGATATGACGTCTTCCCTCGTTTATTGTACTCCACGGCGCGATCGTAACATTTCACATCTTTTCTCCCTCGCCTCCTCTATCGCTTCCAAGAGAGCATGCAAAACATCAGCGTATAGGCTATGTTTGGATGTCTACGACACTAATACAAAAAACGCGCGCGGCCGGGCCGGTAGATTGCAACGGGGGGTTGGCAGATACGAGCAGCCGACATCGGTAGGGCGCAGAGGCGGCTGCCGGTCAAGAATTTTCCAAGAAGAACAGAAGTTCAGATCACAACTGTGTCAGTCTCCGTCGTTGGCGCCACTGGATTTTCCTTCTTGGTGAAACACAGGAAGGCTCCAAAATTCCTCGTCAAGTTCTGAGTGAGTCCTATCCCTCATCGTCTCACATGCCCGGCATCGTTCGATTATTTTCTAGAGGAAGATGTTCGGTCTCTTCTAGAAGGTATCGATGTGATCGCGATCCCGATTGATCTGATCTCTTGACGGGCCACGGGACGATCAGCCGTCCCTTCAAGACCTCAGAGGTCTTCCGATGTTTTACGTAATCCACGCAGTCCCTTTCATCAATTCGGTGAATGTACGAGAAACTTTTTAACGATCCATCCCATCGGAAAGTCTTCACTTGAGTTCCTCGGAGTTTCGCGCGGGGAAGAGTTCATTTGTATTTTCTGCTCCCAGGAGCTCTTATGAGCTCCCTTGACTGCTTCGGTCTCGGCCTTGATGCTTTATGCTCTCCCGGAATACGTTCTCGAATTCCACTGGAACGCGTAGAATGAAGGAACTTCATGTCCGCCGCACATTCCCGACCATGTGATCATAACCTTGATTAGGTGCGACATTCCGTCGATAAAGTGCGTCTTGTCTATTGCAGGGGAAATGGCGAGCAACAGCTCGCCAACGAGTTCCCGAAAACGGCGGCGACCGCCGAGGAATTCCGCGGAATCGTGCGATGATACAGAACCTAAGATCAAGGTAAATTCATCCCCTTACCCCTCCTTGAATGGGGAACATGACGTCAGGTGATTCCCAGCTAGTGTCTTCCTCCGTCCTTTAACGACAGTTCGAGGACTTCCGGTCCCCCGCACCCCTGAGCAATCCTCACTGAGTATGTGCATGCTCCAAGCGAGACCGAGGATTGCCACAAGAGGCCCCTCCCATTGGCGATGGCTCGATCCGACGGCAACGGGTGAACTTTGGAGTGCAGGAAAGTGCCATCGCCCAGAGTGATTCAGGGAAGCAGGTCATCCGGAGGCGACAGCTTCTGGTAGCGAATTCACGGGAGGCTTTGGAGTGGCTTCGGAAAGTCGTGCTGCTCCGTTATCTGAGCGCCACCCCCGAGTGGACCTCACCAGCCTCATTATAGCGACATGATCCGGAATGACGAAACATGTCTAGATCTGGAGAGGATGTCCAAGATTTTCTTGGTCACTTCTTCTCCTGGAATCGCCCTAACGCAGCCTCCCCTGTTGCAGTCATTGCGGAGGACCTCTTCGGACGCTGATTCGTCATGCGCAACGTCGATCTCCACGAATGACTACGGTGACCGGATAGGAACCATCGAAAAGGTGTCCGTGAAGAATTTCATGTGTCATTCTCAGTTGGAATTCTCTTTCGTCCCGCAAGTCAACTTCATCATCGGTCGCAACGGCAGTGAGTTATCGAGGATTAAAGTTGTTCTGGGGATGTGTGCTCTGGTTCTCCAGCGAGAGACGAGCATTCATCTCGGAGTCGATTCGTAGGAGATCAATCGAGCGGTTGATGAGTTCTTTGTGTACAAAGGATCTTTCTTCCATGCTTCAAGGTGGCAAGAGCGCTGTCCTCACCGCCATAATGGCAGGACTTGGTGGGAAAGCGAGCGTGACCAACCGAGGGTCGAAAATATCCTCGTTGGTCCAGAACGGCCGTCCATCAGCTCGCATTGAGGTGACATTGAACAACACTGGCCCTGAAGCCTTCAAAGCGGAAATTTACGGACCTTCGATCACCGTAGTTCGAACCATTCGAGTGAGTTGAGCTCAAACGTGAGTTAGACGGGGGACTCCGACCCGAGTCTATGCATGCACTTATCTGACGATTTCGAATACCATCATTCACAGGCTGTCGGTGGTTCATACGAGATTCGTGCGCATGATCGCCGTGTGGTCTCGACCAAACGGGAGGAGCTGCAAAATATCCTGGACCACATGAACATCCAGGTCGACAACCCTATAGTCGTGCTGAATCAGGAAACTTCGAGGAATTTCTTGCAATCGAAAAGCGCCAAGGACAAATACGTTTTTTTCCTGAAAGCAACTCAGCTCGAAACTGTGAAAGCAAATTACGAAGAAGCCGAAGAAAATGCCAGGCTGGCCACGAACCTTTTCGATACAAAAAGAGCGGTAAGTCATTGCTGAGCGCATTCGCGAGGCTATAGGCTCCCGGGTGTTCCGTTTGTCTGCGGAGCGGATTATCCGTTACGGAATCTCAGCCACCGCGGGCCCCGGGGTAGCGAATATCCGGCACAAGCTCAGTCTCACAATATTGTGCTCTCCCACGATGATCTTTGCAGAATTTACCTCAACTTGAAAAAGATGTAAAGAAGTACGAAGGCATTCTGAAGCTGCTCGACGAAATTGTCGACTCGAGGACTAGATTGAACCTCCTCAAGGCGGAACTCTGCTGGTCTAGAGTAGTCGCTCTTGAGGAGGAGGAACGCGAAGCGGTGCGGAACTCCGACAATGCTCGGGAGCAGTTGCGAGAATTCGTCAAGAAGATGGAGTCTGTGTCGGAGAACCTCGTCGTCGCCAAGAGCGAATCGGAGCGCTACTCGGCTGAATTATCCGAGATCGAAGGATCAAGGACAACGAGGACAGCGGATTTGCACAAGCGCAAACAGGCGATGGACGAAGCGAAGCGAAGTTTTCGGGAAATCGAGGTGAATGTCGTATCGTTCATCGAGAGCTCCGTCATTCAGAAGTAAAATGGCTCCGATAGACGCCCAGAGTTTATTTCTGATTAATTCTCGGAAGCGGGAAAGTTTGCCCGACGCAAGAAACTTCATCGCAGCTGAATTTCCATTCAGGACATTGAGAAGTCGATCAAGCGGAGTGTTCGAACCCTGGAGACGGACAAGGTCGCCCTGGAGAACGAGATCATTCGGGCCAAAACCAACTCGGACGAAGAATGGAGGAAAGAGAAGGAACGGCGCCTGAAAAAGATCGTCATTGTGGAAGGTAGCGTCTAGATTCCTTCATCCGGGGGATGCCGACGCCGACTTCGAAATACGCTCTCCGGCAGTAGATGCCTTCTTGATGTTAATTAAATAAGCGTTGTGAAATTCACAGAAAAGCTCAAGTCAGCTCAAACTCAAGAGGCTCGAGCCAAAGAAAGTGAAGCGAGCGTTCGTGAGAGCCAAAAGCAGAAGGATGGTGACATGCGGGAGGCTCAGATGGAACTGAGGAAGATCGAAACCGATAGTCAAAGTTTAGCTTATCAAATCCAGAACGCGAAAGCGGCTCAGAAAGACGCGGTCAATCGCTTCGGAGCTCGTACGGCCGATATCCTACGGGAGATCTCGCAACAGCGTAGATTTCGAGTGAAACCGAAAGGTCCGATAGGATCATTCATCAGTCTGAAAGGTACGTTTATTCGTCACTTGTCAATTCATCCGTCGAGAGTTACAAAATCCATGACGATTCAGTCGAAATTCCTTCACGTTTTCTCTTTTACGTTCCGCAGACGATCGATGGGCCTATGCGGTGGAGCGTCATTGTTCAAATTCCTTAAGAGCGTATATGGTGGATAACAAGGACGACGCAAAGCTACTTAAACTGATATTCGATAAATACAATCAGAAGGACATCACTATCTACACGCGGAAGTTCAGTGAAAGAAGATATCAGTGCGCAATGGCGACGCCAACTGCGAGCTCTCAGAATTTGACCCGGGTTGTCGATATCAAGGACACCGATGTCTTCAATTTGTTGGTCGATGTCCACTCAATCAATATGGTCTTATTATTCGATAGCGTCGAGGCTGCCTTGACAACTCTCAAGCGTGTGGACACCGTGCCGAAGAATTGCGCTCTCGCAATCGATGCCGAGTACAATCGAGTCAATCCAGCTCCCAAGTATAGGATATTTAGTAACGACCGGAATATCCAAGTCCACTTTCTGAGGGAGGCAGGCAAAGACAAATTGTCTGCACTGGAAGCCGAACTCAAATCACTACGGGAGAAGAAAAAAGCCTCGGAGAGTCAGTTCCAGCTCGTTCAGAGGGAAGTCGCTTCACTGGAAGTCGAAATCCGGAACGCGACGGATCGTAGGACGAAATTCAGCCTCGAATGTGCTGGCTTGGAGAGGCAACTGCGAGATCTGCGGGACTTCGAGGTGAGTGAGTTCCTCCTTCATTGAGGGTCGATGCCAGGAGGAAGTGTGAGATCTTTCTCGACGATCCATTTTTCGCACAGGAACCCGTCGCAGTTAACGTCACGTTTCTGGAAGACGAAGTAGCGGCGCTTTCTCGAACGATTGGAGAGAAAACGAAAGAGCTGCCCGCGATCAAGGAAAAGCTTCAAGCTCTCGTAGAGGAAGTTCGAGAGAAAAACAGAGCGCTCAAACAAGCTGAAGCGGTGGTGAAAGAGAGTGAGGAACGGATCAACTCTCTCAAAATCGTGCTCAATAAGTGCGCAGATAAGATCGAGAAATTCAAGGGCTATGAGATCGGCCTCGTTTACAAGTGAGTAGGAATGGAGTTCGGAACCATAGAACCCATTGATTTTCTACAAGCTCTCTCGATTCAAGCCAATTTTCGCGGTGGATCCAAGGGCAGGTATTCCACCGTGCGCAGCTTCAGATCTCAATGATGCTCAAACACCATTCTAAGTGTTTCTGTTATGCTCTTAGGAAAGCGCTGCTAGAAGCTACGATCAAAGAAAAGGAGACCGAGTTGAAGAGCAAAAGTGCGAAGCTGGCCAGCGTGCTCGACGCCACTGTGAAAGAATTCCCGCAGAGAATCGATACTGATCGGACAGAAAATGCTTTACAAATGGAAATCGAAACCCTTCAGGGACAGATAGCCAGTATGGAGCGAACGTGAGTATGAAAGTCGCGATGCGTCATACGTGGGAACGCGACGGCCGAATGAGATTTCCCTCGTCGTGGAATCGGGTGCAGAGATCGGCTTCTCCATCTCAGCGACAACTGAGGATAGATTCGAAAATATTACAGACAGCCCGATCCAGAGAGGACGCGGAAGACGTACCGACGTTTGAAGGAAAAGTTCGATACCCTCTCCGGGGAGCTGGACAATCTGAAAACTTATCTTAAAGAATTGGGCAAACTTATCAAACAGCGTCGAGATACTTTTGTCAAAGTCAGGGACTTGGCGTGTTTCCGAGTCAACACCGTGTTCCAGTCATTGATGGCAAGCGAGAATTTCATTGCTAGTCTTGTATTCGAGCATGAAGAGGTAAGACGGTGAAGGAGAATATGTTTTGACTCTGATTCAGATGATTCATGACGAAAAAAACTTATAAACCGCAGCTCTAGGCTGCGCGGGTTCGAGGATCGAAAATTCACGCCGAAGACCTTTCCAGCGCAAGCTGCAGATCGATGTCAAGGAGACGAGTCAGAGCGTGCGTCAATCACAGCGCGACGTGCGAGGACTTTCGGGTGGCGAGCGATCATTTTCCACCGTGTGTTTCATTTGTGCCCTCTGGAGCAGTACGGATCATACGCCGCTGCGAGTCTTGGATGAGTTCGACATTTTCATGGATATGAGCAAACGTCGGAAAAGTCTCCAGATGCTCCTTGAAATATGTCAGAAACAAGCTCGTTGTCAATTCATCTTCTTGACACCCCTGGAGATGCCGAACATTGATGCGTTAAAAGGTGAGACACTTTATTCCGGAGACGGTCAAAAGTTCTCGATCGCGTCTGATCCACTCTGTCAGTCAGGGGAGGAACGTTCGCGGAGTATTCACCTTCCTATCCGGAAAGTGTCGCCGTGAGAGCATTCGAGCTCACAAATATTCTTGATGTTTCAGATGGGTCGGTGAAGATCCAGATGATGCCAGAGCCTGAGAGAGGGCCGATAGCCGCTCAATGAACCACTGATTGTGCTTTTTTTCCAAGCACGAGTGAATTGAGATCGATCTCGGTCTGCGGCATATGACACGCGATCTCGTCCTGTAGAATACTCCTTTCCTTTGTGTGATAGGTTTTATATTTTAGAAGAAAATATGGAGGGTGAAGCTACTTCCGAATGGAAAGAAGGGATCTAGTACCTTATGAGAAGTCAAATCATCGATTCCATCGTCATTTAATTTATGTCTACATTTATGCCCCAGCCCAATCGGAAGACAACGCATGATACAGTCCAATGGTCGAAGATCGGATACTTGACTTGCTATAACTAGATGAAAATTGGATAGTCCCCGGGGATCATTGAGTTGTACCCGGGGATCCTGTGCCCCGCATCCCCTTGTCTTATTCGACCAATCGTCAAAGAATAGCGCGAGGGGGAAGCCAGCCACGTCGATTAAAGAGTCTGTCATGCTGCTCGTGAAAAACATACCAGTTTATTTCTACCTTAGGTCGCCCCGATGTCACCATTCGACTCACTGTCCCGAGGTTCCCGTTCCGGAACATGAGTTATCTCGTTGCCCTAATCCTAAGAGAGGTTCAATCCTCCACCCGAATACTCCACTCTCTGCGAAGAGGAAACTGGTTTTCGAAACGTTTCAGCTGGATGTGGGTAGCAGGCTCGAGCGAGATGCCCCCGATTTTCCCGGGATAGAGGATATCATAAACTCAGCTTGCTCAAAAAGATAACTCACCTGCGCTGGTTCAACGAAGTCGAGCCAGTCAGACGCATATGTCGGGAGCAAGCCCATCGATGAACATTTATACACCACTAGACCTAACGTAGCCAAGTTCCCCAATAAGAAAACGATTTTCTGCGGAATGGAGTGCGATCCCGATATGAGAGCGAAAGTTGCGTTGATTCTGGGGACAAAAAAGAAGCTCATTCGCATATAGAAGTCTTCGTGGGACTCGAGTCTGCCGCGGAAACATGGTCAGAATCCATACGCATTGGGGGGAAAAACTTACGAAAATAGTGCTTTCACCACGCGCAGAAATAGGACGCCAATCATCATCAGAGGGAATAAGGAAATCGAACCACCCGCCATGTACATGATGAAGAGATTCATGGGTATTTGTTTCGTCGGAGCGAGTGCTATATCCCACGATCGCTAGAAAGGAACGAGCCTCCTTGAAAATCAGAGCAAGTCCTCCAGAGGGTCACCCATAAGTGAATTTTCTTCATCGATCGAGAGTTCTCAGAAGACGGAAAATCGTGGACAGATCGTCACCTTCACAATCAGCTTGGTGTCGTTCTCCCTCGATACCTGGACGGTATTGAACGCTGTGTTCGGATACAAACCCGGGGGAACTGCGAGGACTTCGCCGCAACGCTCTTCTGTTTTACTGGATGTGAGAATCGGAAATTGAAATTCATGTGAAGCATTTCCAATCAAAGGCAGTGATGTCGATGCACCTGCGCCGATATACGCTGCCGGATAGACCAGGCATTGAGTCAGTGCTTACCTCACGGCGGGGTTCAGCACACATCGGGATTTTCTAGTCTGTAGCTGCTTTCCGGATGAAGACATAACGATCTCGTAGGGCGACCCTATGCGGAGTTCGCCAGACCTGACTCGATTAGAACACTGTTTCCGCTCTTCAATTTGACAACGCCAACATTCGAATGATGCGGATGATCTCTGCTCGAGGTAAGGGCGGGAGCGGGCTAATCGCGGGTATTCGGTCGAGCAGAGCTTCGGTGGCAGGGGAGGCCGTACGGCAAGGGATCAGGAGTTATTTCCTCCTTGCTCTAGTATGCAGTTCGCTGGTGTTCCTAACAGCGGGAGGTAGGAAGGGAGGCACGATCCGGATTCTAATCGGGGGTCTGTTCGGATCGGAATCGTACATAGAACAAAGACTGAGGGAATGAGGTTAAAAATCGCGGTCGTGTGCTGCGGGGGCCGCGACGTACATATTCCATCATTCGGGTGAAATTAAAATTCTCTTCCGGGATCAGAGCCTCCGAACAAAACTGAACTCCCTGACGTTGGATGGATGTCCCCGCGCCGACTCAACATCGATCCAACGAGAGGACTCTGTTTTATTTCACGTGATGAATGAATGCTGTTCTCTAGGAGACCTCTGCGGCACGACATCAAGATGGAGAGATTCTTGCAGGCGTCGCGGACCTCACCCGCTAGACCGGGTAGATTGCGAAACACTAATTCAGATCTGTATTAGCAGAATCATCGATTCTCGGATCTCATTCATCCTGGTCCCCTGAGCAGCATACTTCGCATCTGATCTTCACATGGATCCGTCTAGACTCTAGAGCGCAGATCTCCAAGTCGAATTTGAACCAAGATGGTCCCCAGCCAGCACCGCCGAATTGCCTCCGCGGGACTCTAGGTACGTGGGCACAGTAGACGCGAATTCCCTCATCGACCCCGACCCTGCTCTGGAGCAGATATGCTCGTCCTCCAATAAATCACAATCAGACTTGCTGCCTTGTCTAGGCTCGCATCGGGTGTCCCCGGGCCTGTGTCCCGGACTCACTAAGCACCGATTGCAGCTCGTTTCTTTCGCCTCGGTCGTCAGACTTTTTTACCTTGCAAGGGAACCCTGACAATGGTCCCGTTATACTTTATGATTATCCGTCGAACTCTCCTCACGGGAAGCCGTGGGGAGCTCGGTGAGGAATTCCGTTGGGAGTCGCGTCAGAAGTTCCTTCAGAGTTCCGCCTAGCGGTTTCCGGTCGTGCTTCTTTTCCTTTTCGGCCCCATCGATCGAGTTCAATTCGTATCAAGTTTTCGATTCGGGAACGATGATCAAGGCCAATCTGGTGTGCACAGATTGGGACTCGGCGAAGGCATTCACCATTCAAGAAAAGTATGGGTGTTTCGACTGAGAACACGTCAGTCGAATAGAGTCCAACGGTATTTCGTCTGTTCAAGAACTATGTCAGAGAGGATCTGGCAAAATTCAGCGCCGGGCATGAGAGAGTGGTAGAGCGCAAATGAACAGACATCGAGAATGCATCGTTCATTATTCGAATTCATCGCGATGCGAACGAGTCCGTAGCTCCAAGGACTGAGGCTTCAGAATACGCCCTGAGAGATGCTCCCACATCTTCAGGCTCAATCCAGTACGTTCAGGGTCAGATTTAAAGGTTCCGCAGCCACTCGGAAGACAGACAAGCGACGACAGCCGTCCCCTTGGGTGACATTCGGCCAGCGTAGTGACGACGGATCTCGTCTCCGCCCCACCCCACCTGATGCAGGCGTCACGGAAGCTCGTTGCCCTCCAGATGGTGGGCTCGAAGAGCTGGCGAGCTCGCACGCCGGAGACGATCCCCGAAGGCGAAGAGGCAGGTGAGTTGGTGAGCAGGCCAGGAATCAGGCCACCACCGCCACCACCGCAGTCGCCGCCGTTTTCGCCCACGAGACAGCCAGCAGAGCCCCAGCAAGTCGGAGGTCCTTCCTTCCTTGAGGGCTCGAGGCACGGCAAAATACCCTCTCCGTCGCGCATGCGTGAGGGCCTCCGAAGGAGCTTATGTTGTGTATTTGAGCAAGTGCGCCCCACGTTCCACGGAAAGGGAGTCCCTCGACCAGGTGCGCCGCCGTTTTCTGTGCACGAACTAACGTAAACTTTTCCGCATCTCGAGTGAAAACCCTGTGCGGCAGTGATCGCTTCATGCAAGCTCTGAGTTCGGTGTCGCGGAGTCGACGGCGGCGAAACTCCCGTTCCGTCGCCGAGTCCATCCCGAGCTGATCGAAAGGTAACGGATCCGGATGGCCGCCACAGACAATGGTGTCGTCCTCGCTTTTAAACGCTCGCCTTACTAACCGATAGCGGATCCACGGTCACAATTCGAGTTCTAGACAGTTTCGGTCGACTCGAGGCTTCTGCACAGCAGCAGAGCGGAAGCCTGAGATGTCTGAACCACTTACGCGGTGCAAACATTTTGGAGTGCAACCTTTTGTATTCCCTCCAAGTAAATAATTGACTCATGTACTTTCGTGCTTGTTTTCGCGGCTGAGGACAACGGCATCGAGACGAAAACTTAAAATTTGCTTCACGTTCTCGATCGGCAGTTCCGCCTCCATTTGAATTCAGTTGTCGACGACCTTCGGCCATCGTCTCGCGCGTGGTCCCGTGGCGCCCTGCTGTCTCCCGTTTCCTCCCGTCCGACTTTCGGTCGACTTCACCGTGGAGTGGCTGTCGCCGTTGTCGGTAGGAAAGCCTCCGGGAGTGAACGGCAACAGTGAGCGAAACCGCTGCATTCGGACTCCTGTGACTGCGAGCTCCTGCAGTCGAGGCTGCTAGTCGGATGAACCAGGATTTCCCGGCTTAACATATGTGATATGGGACCGATGGGAGAGCGTAAAATCATCGATCAGAGATCCTATTCCGTCCTCAAAAAATCAGCTGGCCAGATCCAAAATCCAAATTCCAAAAAACTCGTTTCGGTTTCGGACTGTTAGCTCAAGTACGAGGGGAAAACCCGAGTTCCGAACAGCCTCGCGGCTGAATCCTCGAGCGAGAGCTCCCTCTCTCGGGTTCTGAGCAGCGACAAGATGTATTTGTCGGTCATCTCAGGGCCCAAAGCCGTTCTTGGCGTGCTCATGCGACTCTGTATGAAAGGCTATCACGGGGCAATTCTCTCAGCCCACGCGGATTGTGGAGACGTCCCATACGATTCCACGGAAGGCGAACAACGTTCCATGCTTCAGCGCAACACTCCGAAAAACATTCCTGTACACTTTGTTGGGTAATCCCTTGCGAGGATTCAGACTGTTCTCCACGGGCTTTTGAATTCACTCTCGGTCGACAATACGAAGTCTAGAAGAGACACGCGAAGAAGAGTCGCGGGTGTTGTTGGCGCGCCAGCATTCATTTCCTCCGTAGAATAATTCACCGCCTTACTTTTTTTGGCCGACGACGCCGAATATGAGTTTCGAGATGTGCGTTTGTTTCGTCTCGATTTGAGGAAATCCCGACTGTGCTACGGAGGGGCGGGAACTTTCTCAGTCGACCTTCATCTCGTTTGGGCTCCGCTCGACTAATCCTTATGTTCGTTCCCGAACGCGCATCGCGACAGCCGAGGGGACATGGAGGATTCTCAATTTTTCGCGATGGAGATGCTAATCTTTAGAGGGTTGGAGCTCTATAAGCGAAGAAACTCGCGACTGGTCAATACTCCTCAGAGAGTGGAAAGTTGCCTCGTCGGGAAACGATCAGCGTGAATGAGCTCCGCGTTTTCTGCTGCTCCCAATAGAGTCGGCGGAAGCAACGGGAGAAAGAGGTCTCCATGAAAACAGCAATCACGTTTATAGCTCTAAAAGAGCCTTCGAGAGGTCTAGGGGTGGATGTTGCGTCGCCGTTTCCTCCCGGCAAAGTAGCTCCCCTCCAGGGGCTTGCAAGGCAACATGGGAGCCGTCTTCCTCGTTGATGAATGAATCGCAGATTCGGAGTAGCGGTTATATGGCCCACCTTGGGATAAGAGCCATTTTCCCTAGGCCGATGAATACGTTCAATCGTTAAATCCGTGGCAGCACCGACATCTGCCGTCGCGGCGAGCACGGCCCAATGCAGAAGCGAGAGTCGGAGCTGCCTAGGGAATTCGAGTTCGAGCATCAGGAGCTCGAAATCCCGTGTTTGTCCAAGGACCGCTGTTCGGACCTCACTGCGATCGCAGCGGACCGAATCCCTCGCCGAGGCGTACATGCTTGCTCCATTTAGGGTCGATCTCCGGCTATCGATCGAATCGTCGCGGAGAGTCGCTACCCTAGAAGAATTAAGATGATGCGAGACGGGCTCGGGGACAGGCTGATGTGCCGGGAAATTCCCTCAGCGACCGTTTTTTCCATCGAGCCCATTCTCATCTACCGAGTTCCTCTAATCCGTTTAGACTCGATCCCGAACACCAGCGACAGCGTTCAATTCATCACCGATGCGCTCGGAGATCGGGCCTCGGGAGTCGATCCCAATAATTATTTGAAGCTGTACGGGGATTATGGCAAGAGCTTTCGGTCTGATGTTGTGTGAGCCTGTCTTCTTGGCGCCGTTCATGCATGAACGAGCAACATTGTGTGCGCACCGTCTATGTCACTGTTCACCAGTCTCTCAATCTACGAGCTGATCTCCCCGATCGAGGATGCACGATGTCGACGAAGAAGTGCACGCCAGGGTTTCATCCCAGTGTGAGCTTTCTGTTCAGTCATGAGGCGGGGCCTCAGGATTTGTAAGCACGGCCTCGACCGGATTCAAGCTCGCGCAAACAGTGTCTGTTGTGTCTCAATCGATCGGAATGAGCGATATCTTGCGTCCTCATCCAAGCCCGCGTGCGCTCCTCGAGCCCCAGCGATTAACTCAATGGAGCGCCCGAGACGATTGGAGGAGCATATATATTTTTCCACCGGGATTCACCATATTATTCATCTTATTCGACCCTTGTCAACCCTAATCGACTGCTGAATGATGCGTTCTCCCATTGATTCAAGCCTGGGCGGGATGACCTGTGCGGGTCATTAGTTAAGTATTGGAGTCCAAGGGCACGTAACGGCGTATTCTAGGAGCGTCCGCCAACAAGCCTGACTCAACCCATGCGAAAAATTCTTGATCCCACCCGGGAAGTGAGACAACATCCGTCACAATCAGCTCCCGCTGAAAGCCA